CACACACACACACCACACACACACACACACACTCAGACACATACACACACACACACACTCACAAATACAACAGCCTAGTGTCTAATCGACATGTGCCTAGGACAAAATGGTAACTAACACAGGCGGGAACCATACATAGTTTTAAGGCGAGGTATGATAGAGCTCATGGAGCAGGGAGAGAGAGGACATAGTAGCAATCAGCGAAGAGGCGGGGCCAGGAGCTGTGACTCGACCCCTGCAACCACAAATAGGTGAGTACAAATAGGTGAGTACACACACACACACACACACACCTACAACAGGCCTAGTGTCTAATCGACATGTGCCTAGGACAAAATGGTAACTAACTGGTGGCCTGGTGGTTAACGCTCTCGCTTCACACGGTGAGGGCCTGGGTTCGATTCCCAGCCAGAGTAGAAACATTGGACGTGTTTCTTTCCACCTGTTGTCTATGTTCCCCATCAGTAAAATGGGTACCTGGGTGTTAGTCGACTGGTGTGGGTCGCATCCTGGGACACTGACCTAAGGAGGCCTGGTCACAGACCGGGCCGCGGGGGCGTTGACCCTCGAAACTCTCTCCAGATAAACTCCAGATAAACAACACAACACAGAGAGCTACATGAACTACAACATAACACAGAGAGCTTCATGAACTACAAAACAGAGAGCTTCATGAACTACAACACAACACAGAGAGCTACATGAACTACAACACAACACAGAGAGCTACATGAACTACAACACAACACAGAGAGCTACATGAACTACAACACAACACAGACCTACATGAACTACAACACAACTCAGAGAGCAACATGAACTACAACACAGAGAGCTACATGAACTACAACACAGAGAGCTACATGAACTACAACACAGAGAGCTACATGAACTACAACACAACACAGAGAGCAATATGAACTACAACACAGAGAGCTACATGAAATACAACACAACACAGAGAGCTACATGAACTACAACACAGAGAGCTACATGAACTACAACACAACAAAGACCTACATGAACTAAGACACAACACAGAGAGCTACATGAACTACGACACAACACAGAGAGCTACATGAACTACGACACAACACAGAGAGCTACATGAACTACAACACAACACAGACCTACATAAACTACGACACAACACAGAGAGCTACATGAACTACAACACAACACAGACCTACATGAACTACGACACAACACAGAGAGCTACATGAACTACGACACAACACAGAGAGCTACATGAACTACAACACTACACAGACCTACATGAACTACGACACAACACAGAGAGCTACACGAACTACGACACAACACAGAGAGCTACATGAACTACGACACAACACAGAGAGCTACATGAACTACAACACAACACAGACCTATATGAACTACGACACAACACAGAGAGCAACATGAACTACAACACAACACAGAGAGCTACATGAACTTCAACACAACACAGAGAGCAACATGAACTACGACACAACACAGAGAGCAACATGAACTACAACACAACACAGAGAGCTACATGAACTACAACACAACACAGAGAGCAACATGAACTACAACACTACGCAGAGAGCTAAATGACCTACAACACAACACAGAGAGCTACATGAACTACAACACAGAGAGCTACATGAACTACGACACAACACAGAGAGCTACATGAACTACAACACAGAGAGCTACATGAACTACAACACAACACAGAGAGCAACATGAACTACAACACAACACAGAGAGCTACATGAACTACGACACAACACAGAGAGCTACATGAACTACACACAACACAGAGAGCTACATGAACTACAACACAGAGCTACATGAAGTACAACACAACACAGAGAGCTACATGAACTACGACACAACACAGAGAGCTACATGAACTACAACACAACACAGACCTACATGAACTACGACACAACACAGATAGCTACATGAACTACAACACAACACAGAGAGCAACATGAACTACAACACAACACAGAGAGCAACATGAACTACAACACAACATAGAGAGCAACATGAACTACAACACAACACAGAGAGCTACATGAACTACAACACAGAGAGCAACATGAACTACAACACAACATAGAGAGCAACATGAACTACAACACAACATAGAGAGCAACATGAACTACAACACAAACACAGAGAGCAACATGAACTACAACACAACACAGAGGTCAACATGAACTACAACCCACAGAGAGCAACATGAACTACAACACAACACAGAGAGCTACATGAACTACGACACAACACAGAGAGCTACATGAACTACAACACAGAGAGCTACATGAACTACAACACAACACAGAGAGCTACATGAACTACAACACAGAGAGCTACATGAACTACAACACAACACAGAGAGCTACATGAACTACAATACAACACAGAGAGCAACATGAACTACAACACAACACAGAGAGCAACATGAACTACAACACAACACAGAGAGCAACATGAACTACGACACAACACAGAGAGCAACATGAACTACAACACAACACAGAGAGCAACATGAACTACAACACAACACAGAGAGCAACATGAACTACAACACAACACAGAGAGCTAACATGAACTACAACACAACACAGAGAGCTACATGAACTACGACACAACACAGAGAGCAACATGAACTACAACACAACACAGAGAGCAACATGAAACTACAACACAACACAGAGAGCAACATGAACTACAACACAACACAGAGAGCTACATGAACTACAACACAACACAGAGAGCTACATGAACTACAACACAACACAGAGAGCAACATGAACTACAACACAACACAGAGAGCTACATGAACTACAACACAACACAGAAAAGCTACATGAACTACGACACAACACAGAGAGCAACATGAACTACAACACAGAGAGCTACATGAACTACAACACAACACAGAGAGCAACATGAACTACAACACAGAGAGCTACATGAACTACAACACAACACAGACCTACATGAACTACAACACAACACAGAGAGCTACATGAACTACAACACAGAGAGCTACATGAACTACGACACAACACAGAGAGCTACATGAACTACAACACAGAGAGCTACATGAACTACAACACAACACAGAGAGCAAAATTGAACTACGACACAACACAGAGAGCAACATGAACTACAACACAGAGAGCTACATGAACTACAACACAGAGAGCTACATGAACTACAACACAACACAGAGAGCAAAATGAACTACGACACAACACAGAGAGCAACATGAACTAAAACACAGAGAGCTACATGAACTACAACACAACACAGAGAGCAAAATGAACTACGACACAACACAGAGAGCAACATGAACTACAACACAACACAGAGAGCAACATGAACTACAACACAACACAGAGAGCTACATGAACTACAACACAACACAGAGAGCAACATGAACTACAACACAACACAGAGAGCTACATGAACTACAACACAACACAGAGAGCTACATGAACTACAACACAACCCAGAGAGCTACATGAACTACAACACAACACAGAGAGCTACATGAACTACAACACAACACAGAGAGCTATAGGGAACTACAACACAACACAGAGAGCTACATGAACACGACACAACACAGAGAGCTATATGAACTACAACACAACACAGAGAGCTACATGAACTACAACACAGAGAGCTACATGAACTACAACACAGAGAGCTACATGAACTACAACACAACACAGAGAGCTACATGAACTACAACACAGAGAGCTACATGAACTACAACACAGAGAGCTACATGAACTACAACACAACACAGAGAGCTACATGAACTACAACACAACACAGAGAGCTACATGAACTACAACACAACACAGAGAGCAACATGAACTACAACACAACACAGAGAGCTACATGAACTACAACACAGAGAGCTACATGAACTACAACACAACACAGAGAGCTACATGAACTACAACACAACACAGAGAGCTACATGAACTACAACACAACACAGAGAGCTACATGAACTACAACACAACACAGAGAGCTACATGAACTACAACACAACACAGAGAGCTACATGAACTACAACACAACACAGAGAGCAACATGAACTACAACACAACACAGAGAGCAACATGAACTACAACACAACACAGAGAGCTACATGAACTACGACACAACACAGAGAGCTACATGAACTACAACACAGAGAGCTACATGAACTACAACACAGAGAGCAACATGAACTACAACACAACACAGAGAGCTACATGAACTACAACACAACACAGAGAGCAACATGAACTACAACACAACACAGAGAGCTACATGAACTACAACACAACACAGAGAGCTACATGAACTACAACACAACACAGAGCTACATGAACTACAACACAACACAGAGAGCTACATGAACTACAACACAACACAGAGAGCAACATGAACTACAACACAACACACAGAGCAACATGAACTACAACACAACACACAGAGCAACATGAACTACAACACAACACAGAGAGCTACATGAACTACAACACAACACAGAGAGCTATATGAACTACAACACAACACAGAGAGCTACATGAACTACAACACAACACAGAGAGCTACATGAACTACAACACAACACAGAGAGCTACATGAACTACAACACAACACAGAAGCAACATGAACTACAACACAACACAGAGAGCTACATGAACTACAACACAGAGAGCAACATGAACTACAACACAACACAGAGAGCAACATGAACTACAACACAACACAGAGAGCAACATGAACTACAACACAACACAGAGAACAACATGAACTACAACACAACACAGAGAGCAACATGAACTACAACACAACACAGAGAGCTACATGAACTACAACACAACACAGAAAGCAACATGAACTACAACACAACACAAAGAGCTACATGAACTACAACACAGAGAGTTACATGAACTACAACACAACACAGAGAGCTACAAAACAGCACGTCTTACCCAGCCAGTATTCTGCATGAGGGTCACCAAAGCCGGTCTTGTAGTCTTGCCAGGTCCTGGTGAAGTTCTCTTGTACAGTCTGGCGGTGACGGGCCAAGAACACTGTCCAGGCAGCTTCTTCTTCCATCTGACACATCACATTCACACCTGACGGAGAACTAACATATTCCTTCCTTACACCTTCCCCTCATTATGCTACTTCTGCTGTTATTACTAGCAACGATCATAATGGTAAGATTTATATGTATGTATAAGTCGTGCCGAATAAGTAAAATTGGTCAATTAGCAAGAACTCATTTAAAATTAAGTCCTTTCTAAAATTTTCTCTGATACATGCGTTTAAAGATATATTTTTTTCATTAATGTTTGTATAAACTTTTAATTTTGCACCAAAAGAATCTTGGGAAAATTACCTAACCTTATTATAACAAAAGCAATTTATTTTAGCCTAACCCAGCTAAATATATTTTAAATACGTTTACAGTAATTTAATACTAAACAAACACAATCAAATATATTTTTCTCGTTAGGTTCAGAATGATTTTGGCGAAATTATTGCATACACAAATTTTCACTTGTCCTATATGGGAAGATGAACGTTGGTATTTAAACCAAGATCGCAAGTTCTGCCTATTCGGCTCCTGGAGAGCGAAACGTTGCCACAGTAAAATGTGATCTTATTGCAAATATATGTATATATATATATATATATATATATATATATATATATATATATATATATTAATATATATATATCATATATATATATATATATATATACATATATTTGCAATAAGATCACATTTTTACTGTGGCAACGTTTCGCTCTCCAGGAGCTTTGTTAAGCCGGAGAGCGAAACGTTGCCACAATAAAATATCACATTAGTTGCACTTGTGTCCTTTTACTTTACATATTATCAGTAATTCTATCAATATTTACAAAATAACCCACATGGCGACAGAAACTTAGATGATTGATGTTGTGTCTCGACCTCCTCCTACGATTGTAGGGTCCTCTTCAGCAGATACACATAAATTTACAGGCTGCATATCCTGAGTGCATGTGAAAACAGGCTTGATATGGTGATAAGATTTCTTAGGATTTTTAACCCCGGAGGGTTAGCCAAGAAAGTCAGTGCGTCATCGAGGACTGTCTGCTTTATTTCCATTGTGGTCCTCAATCTTGTCCCCCAGGATGCGACCCACACCAGTCGACTAACACCCAGGTACCTACTTGCTGCTAGGTGAACAGGGACAACAGGTGTTAGGAGACACGTCGATATGTTTCTACCCCGGCAGGAATCGAACCCGGACCCTCCATGTTTGAAGCAAGAGCTTGGCCAGCCAGGCCACGGTGCTGTTCATTTTCACATACACTCAGGATGTGCAGCTCACCCAGCTGACCCTCAAAGTTCGACAGATGAAAAGAAATCCGCGAAAGAAATTTCTCCGAATTAGGACACCCAGACAGGTTTATAAAACAAGGAGAAAAAAACAGTGTCAGGTACGAAACTTCAGCCCAAAGAAACCTAACTCCAGCCAACAATGCTCAACTAATGGTGCACTAGCACCAACAAAGCTCAACTAATGGTACACTAGCACCAACAAAGCTCAACTAATGGTGCACTAGCACCAAAAAAAGCTCAACTAATGGTGCACTAGCACCAACAAAGCTCAACTAATGGTGCACTAGCACCAACAAAGCTCAACTAATGGTGCACTAGCACCAACAAAGCTCAACTAATGGTGCACTAGCACCAACAAAGCTCAACTAATGGTGCACTAGCACCAACAAAGCTCAACTAATGGTACACTAGCACCAACAAAGCTCAACTAATGGTACACTAGCACCAACAAAGCTCAACTAATGGTACACTAGCACCAACAAAGCTCAACTAATGGTACACTAGCACCAACAACGCTCAACTAATGGTACACTAGCACCAACAACGCTCAACTAATGGTACACTAGCACCAACAACGCTCAACTAATGGTACACTAGCACCAACAAAGCTCAACTAATGGTACACTAGCACCAACACAGCTCAACTAATGGTACACTAGCAACCAACAACGCTCAACTAATGGTACACTAGCACCAACAAAGCTCAAACTAATGGTACACTAGCACCAACACAGCTCAACTAATGGTACACTAGCACCAACAACGCTCAACTAATGGTACACTAGCACCAACAACGCTCAACTAATGGTACACTAGCACCAACAAAGCTCAACTAATGGTACACTAGCACCAACAAAGCTCAACTAATGGTACACTAGCACCAACAACGCTCAACTAATGGTACACTAGCACCAACAAAGCTCAACTAATGGTACACTAGCACCAACAAAGCTCAACTAATGGTGCACTAGCACAACAAACGCTCAACTAATGGTACACTAGCACCAACAAAGCTCAACTAATGGTACACTAGCACCAACAAAGCTCAACTTATGGTGCACTAGCACCAACAACGCTCAACTAATGGTACACTAGCACCAACAACGCTCAACTAATGGTACACTAGCACCAACAACGCTCAACTAATGGTACACTAGCACCAACAACGCTCAACTAATGGTACACTAGCACCAACAACGCTCAACTAATGGTACACTAGCACCAAACAACGCTCAACTAATGGTACACTAGCACCAACAACGCTCAACTAATGGTACACTAGCACCAACAACGCTCAACTAAATGGTACAATAGCACCAACAACGCTCAACTAATGGTACACTAGCACCAACAACGCTCAACTAATGGTACAATAGCACCAACAACGCTCAACTAATGGTACACTAGCACCAACAACGCTCAACTAATGGTACACTAGCACCAACAACGCTCAACTAATGGTACACTAGCACCAACAACGCTCAACTAATGGTACACTAGCACCAACAACGCTCAACTAATGGTACACTAGCACCTAGGTTCATTCAGTCGTCTCAGAGTGACGACATAATCACTTTTTAACGTAACAAAAGGGGTAATCTTTTCCAGTAACAACAAGCAATCAATTACGACAGACACAGCAGGAGTCTGCCAGATACTACTCAAACATTGCAAGCGAGCGTACATGAGGCAGACAGGATGAACACTATCCACATTGATCACTGGACACCAGGGAGGAGGATACGTGATGCATAGAAGATTCCAGCCGTCTTTCAACATGTCAGTAACAACAGTCACAATATTCACTAGGAAACTGCCACCATAAAACACACATCACACTTCAGTTACAAATGCAAAACCATGAGTCTGTCCTCATAGCTACCACCCCTCAATGTTAACATCTCACAGGGACACTGGAAAGCGGAAGTCATATCAAAATTCGCACAAAGAAATTTCCCATCCAAATTTTTATCTTCGCTAAAGTACCTGTCTTCCAACGCCCTCACCTGACAACCTTCCCTTCCTCTTTTTCTTTGTTTATTGCTAGTTACAATCATCTCCCATCCACTCAGCTCGTTCACTATTAAATCAACTGTCACACACACAGATATATTTCATACTCTGTTTCTGCACTCTGTCCTGTGAAGAATTGTATGCATAAAGAGAGACTCACACTGTAGCCTTCTTTAATACATTTGCCAAGAAGGATCGTCACTTATAAACAACATTATGTTTTGGATTGTCTTAGTTCCAGATGCTAGATCATATGTGCACTCAGACTCTCAGACTGGCTAGACTACTTCACTGTTTTTCAACCATGGTGGCATGGCACTCAACCATGATGGAATGGCACTCAACAATGGTGGCATGGCACTCAACCATGGTGGCATGGCACTCAACCATGGTGGCATGGCACTCAACCATGGTGGCATGGCACTCAACCAGGGAGGCATGACGCTCAACCATGGTGGCATGGCATTCAACCAGGATGGCATGGCACTCAACCATGATAGCATGGCACTCAATCATGCTGGCATGGCACTCAACCAGGGTGGCATGGCACGCAACCAGGCTGGCATGGCACTCAACCAGGGTGGCATGGCACTCAACCAGGGTGGCATGGCACTCAATCAGGGTAGCATGGCACTCAACCAGGGTGGCATAGCACTCAACCAGGGTGGCATGGCACTCAACCAGGTTGGCATGGCACTCAACTAGGGTGGCATGGCACTGAACCAGGGTGGCATGGCACTCAACCAGGGTGGCATGGCACTCAACCATGGTGGCATGGCACTCAACCATGCTGGCATGGCACTCAACCAGGTTGGCATGGCACGCAACCAGGCTGGCATGGCACTCAACCAGGGTGGCATGGCACTCAACCAGGCTGGCATGGCACTCAACCAGGGTGACATGGCACTCAACCAGGGTGGCATGACACACAACCATGTTGGCATGGCACTCAACCAGGGTGGCATGGCACTAAACTAGGGTGGCATGGCACTCAACCAGGGTGGCATGGCACTCAACCAGGGTGGCATGGCACTCAACCAGGGTGGCAATGCACTCAACCAGGGTGGCATGGCACTCAACCAGGGTGGCATGGCACTCAACAAGGGTGCCATGGCACTCAACCAGGGTGCCATGGCACTCAACCAGGGTGGCATGGCACTCAACCAGGGTGCCATGGCACTCAACCAGGGTGGCATGGCACTCAAGCAGGGTGGCAGGCACTTAACCAGGGTGACATGGTGCTCAACCAGGGTGGCATGGCACTCAACCAGGGTGGCATGGAACTCAACAAGGGTGGCATGGCACTCAACTAGGGTGGCATGGCACTCAACCAGGGTGGCATGGCACTCAACCATGGTGGCATGGCACTCAACCAGAGTGGCATGGCACTCAACCAGGGTGGCAATGCACTCAACCAAGGTGGCATGGCACTCAACCATGGTGGCATGGCACTCAACCAGGGTGGCATGGCACTCAACCAGGGTAGCATGGCACTCAACAAGGGTGGCATGGCACTCAACTAGGGTGGCATGGCACTCAACCAGGGTGGCATGGCACTCAACCAGGGTGGCATGGCACTCAACCAGGGTGGCAATGCACTCAACCAGGGTGGCATGGCACTCAACCAGGGTGGCATGGCACTCAACCAGGGTGACATGGCACTCAACCAGGGTGGCATGGCACTCAACCAGGGTGGCATGGCACTCAACCAGGGTGGCATGGCACTTAGCCAGGGTGGCATGGCACTCAACCATGGTTGCATGGCACTCAACCAGGGTGGCATGGCACTCAACCATTGTGACATGGCACTCAACCAGGGTGGCATGGCACTCAACAAGGGTGGCATGGCACTCAACCAGGGTGGCATGGCACTCAACCAGGGTGGCATGGCACTCAACCAGGGTGGCATGGCACTCAACCAGGGTGGCATGGCACTCAACCAGGGTGGCATGGCACTCAACCAGGGTGCCATGGCACTCAATCAGGGTGCCATGGCACTCAACCAGGGTGGCATGGCACTCAACCAGGGTGGCATGGCACTCAACCAGGGTGGCATGGCACTCAACCAGGGTGGCATGGCACTCAACCAGGGTGGCATGGCACTCAACCAGGGTGGCATGGCACTCAACCAGGGTGGCTTGGCACTCAACCAGGGTGGCATGGCACTCAACCAGGGTGACATGGCACTCAACCAGGGTGGCATGGCACTCAGCCAGGGTGGCATGGCACTCAACCAGGGTGTCATGGCACTCAACCAGGGTGGCATGGCACTCAACCAGGGTGGCATGGCACTCAACCAGGGTGGCATGGCACTCAAGCAGGGTGGCAGGCACTCAACCAGGGTGACATGGTGCTCAACCAGGGTGGCATGGCACTCAACCAGGGTGGCATGGAACTCAACAAGGGTGGCATGGCACTCAACTAGGGTGGCATGGCACTCAACCAGGGTGGCATGGCACTCAACCATGGTGGCATGGCACTCAACCAGAGTGGCATGGCACTCAACCAGAGTGGCATGGCACTCAACCAGGGTGGCAATGCACTCAACCAAGGTGGCATGGCACTCAACCATGGTGGCATGGCACTCAACCAGGGTGGCATGGCACTCAACCATTGTGACATGGCACTCAACCAGGGTGGCATGGCACTCAACAAGGGTGGCATGGCACTCAAACCAGGGTGGCATGGCACTCAACCAGGGTGGCATGGCACTCAACCAGGGTGGCATGGCACTCAACCAGGGTGGCATGGCACTCAACCAGGGTGGCATGGCACTCAACCAGGGTGCCATGGCACTCAATCAGGGTGCCATGGCACTCAAGCAGGGTGGCATGGCACTCAACCAGGGTGGCATGGCACTCAACCAGGGTGGCATGGCACTCAACCAGGGTGGCATGGCACTCAAACCAGGGTGGCATGGCACTCAACCAGGGTGGCATGGCACTCAACCAGGGTGGCATGGCACTCAACCAGGGTGGCTTGGCACTCAACCAGGGTGGCATGGCACTCAACCAGGGTGACATGGCACTCAACCAGGGTGGCATGGCACTCAGCCAGGGTGGCATGGCACTCAACCAGGGTGTCATGGCACTCAACCAGGGTGGCATGGCACTCAACCAGGGTGGCATGGCACTCAACCAGGGTGGCATGGCACTCAGCCATGGTAGCATGGCACTCAACCAGGGTGGCATGGCACTCAACCAGGGTGGCATGGCACGCAACCAGGGTGGCATGGCACTCAACCAGGGTGGCATGGCACTCAACCAGGGTGGCATGGCACTCAACCAGTGTGGCATGGCACTCAACCAGGGTGGCATGGCACTCAGCCATGGTAGCATGGCACTCAACCAGGGTGGCATGGCACTCAGCCAGTGTGGCATGGCATTCAACCAGTGTGGCATGGCACTCAACTAGGGTGCCATGGCACTCTAGCTTCATCTTCTTAACTTAAACACCACAATTTTTTGTACTAGTGTTTGTTGTATAATTAATTACTACGTAAGTTTTGTTACATCATATTATTTTTGACCATCTTGAATACTTCCAGAAAAAATTCAGTACTATTTCCAAAACCTGTGTTCAATAGACTATGACTGGTTGAGAAACATTTATTGTCTCAGTATCAAACGCGTCTGATACAAGAAGAATTAAGTGAAACTCACAATTAAAGTATAAGGAAGTGACTCAGGACAAATTCTGGATAGAGATTAAGAATGAATATCCTCAAGTTAAAAAAAAGAAAACTCTGGTAATTCTCATACAATTTCCACATTTTACCAGTGTGAGTTAGAATTTTCTGTGCTCACAGACATAACTAACAAGAGGGAAAATCTGCACTCAAAATTATTATCAAAATTACCTTCCACTCACCAAGCGTAAATATCTCACTAGAAAAGTTACAGAAGACAAGTTAGTTTCTGTTGTTTTATTTAATTCATTATATTCTATAATGCTTGTGTATTATTATTATTATTATTATTATTATTATTATTAGTAGTAGTAGTAGTAGTAGTAGTAGTAGTAGTAGTAGTAGTAGTAGTAGTAGTAGTAGTAAGTACTCTTGGGAAGCGGTTCCAACAGAAAATTGACTAGGATTTCTCTAGATAGAGTCTGTACACTGTGGACTTTTTGTTCTGGTGAGTTACTCACTTAGACTTTGGATGTGTTTGTGATTTTATACAATTCATTGTCTGACTTGATCTAATTAAAACATCTGGGCTGACGAAGCTTCATTTCGGCTCCGGGTCGATGCACCTAGAATCTAAGATTTACTGACCTGTGTTCCGGATTGTGAAAATATTGTTTCTCTTGCAGACTCTACGTATTTTTTGTATAAGTTGTACTTTATAAATAAAAGAGAGATCTAGCTTACACTTCATGTTTTAAAATTTCCATTTTGAGTGGTTTATAAAAAGTGAGTTTTCCTTTGTAAATTGTGATGCAGTTGTCTACTAAATGCTAGTCGATAGTAATACAACAATTGTGTAATTATTAGCAGCAACCTAAATATTCATGACTATATCAGAGTGTGAGCACATCTCCAGAAGCGCACATCAACCAGATAACTGCTGTGGCATATGGGCGCCTGGCAAACCTGAGAATAGATTTCCGACATCTCAGTAAGGAATCGTTCAGACTCTACACTTTGTATGTCAGGCCCTTACTGGAGTATGCAGCACCAGTTTGGAACCCACACCTGGTCAAGCAGGTCAGGAAATTAGAGAAAGTGCAAAAGTTAGCAACAAGACTAGTCCCAGAGTTAAGGGGAATGTCCTACTAAGAAAGGTTAAGGGAAATCGATCTGACGACACTGGAGGACAGGAGGCCTAGGGGAGACATGACAACAGCATACAAAATACTGCGAGGAATTGACAAGGTGGACAGAGACAGGATGTTCCAGAGATAGGACACAGAAACAAGGGGTCGCAATTGAAAACTGAAGACTAAGATACTCATGTTAGGAAGTATTTCTTTAGTCATAGAGTTGTCCAGAAGTGAAATAGTCTAGCAAATGACATAGTGAAGGCAGGAACCATACAGTGTTTTAAGACGACGTTTAATAAGCTCATAGAGCAAGGAGAGAGAGAGGACCAAGTAGCGACCAGCGAAGAGGCAGAGCCAGGAGCTATGACTCAACCCTTCCCACCACAAATTGGTGAGTACAAATAGGCGAGTACAGATATATTTGACTGATAGAATTTAAGCTGGAAATATCGTGTACAATGCACCGGAAACATTACTAAATCTTAACTCAATGATGTTGAGTTTTGACAAGTTTTCTGTTTGTCATGTCAATAATTACTTTAAGCAGCGGTTAATGTGGATGGAGGGAATGGTAGGCTCATGCTGTACCTTGACCTGGTCACCAGATTTCCACTATGTGGCCCATTGGGGTTTCATTCTAGCTACCTTTCCAAACTGTTCCATTTTTTGTTTATGATTTTTCACCCTTTTCATTAGCATGTAAAAATTAGCAAACAATTTCGACACAGTACAGAGACTAAGAGCAAAATATTCTCTGAAAAAAGTATCTTACATTACATGGAAATAACACCATATAAGTTCTTCATAATTTCTTCATTATCTCAATTTTTGAAATTAAAAGGAAAATTTGTATTGAATAGAGATAATTTTATATTATCTAGCTTGGATATGTCACTTGTCTTAAGAGACAAACGTGAACACAACACAAAAGTATAACTGGAATGGAATCCCTTAAGTGTGCGTGCCGAAGTCGACCATATCTTTGATACAAAATCTATGGGTACATATGGGGACTATTTCCCCGCTTTTCTTGGAACAGATACGTGTTAAATGTTGCATTTTTTTTTCTTCTCTTTTTTGAGATGAGTTCGAAGGTTAGTGTGCCGGAAAGAAGCCGTTGGCATGCCAGGTTTGGTACAGGTGCTAAGGGTTGCCCACCCCTGTCTTAATCCGTCCAATAATTTTCCCTGTTTTCCCACTGTTTGTGTTGTGCTCTGTTTAGGTTAAGTTGTGTGTCATAACATTTCTAGATTTTCTTTATTCCTATATTCTCAGTACAGACCAGACTGCACTTTAAATCATTTTTAATTCTTTGTTCTTTCCCCATTCCAGCAGGTGAAACTACCCAACTTTTCTGAGACGATGCCTAGTGTAGTTTTGTGTTTTTGTTATGAGGATGAAAAAGTAAGGACTGATAGAGCTCAAAGAATAACTAAGTCATGCACAGAGTAGATCAACTGTCAAAATATTATTGGAGGTGCAGGAAACAGCTTACCTTTCAGGGAAGATTTGGTAGACTCCACTTAGAGTCTCACCTTGAAGCCGGATATCCGTACAGTCACGCGCAGGGCTGTGGCTTGGTCTGGAGGCCAAGTTATATATTAATGTTCTGTAATGATGTTAATATTGTACAGTAATTTAAAATCGCATTAATCAAGGAGAAATACGAACTGTATAATTATGAATCGTGACATACACACGAGCACATGCAGAGTATATGTACAGTTCCGTATCTCTTAATGAATATGGGGATTAAATTAAGGTTTAGATGTGAAAAGTGGGTTATAATAAGTGTTTATGCACCTGGAGAAGCGAGTAATATAGAGGAGAGAGAGAGAGAGAGAGAGACAGAGAGAGAGAGAGAGAGAGAGAGATTTTGGGAGATGTTAAGCAAGTGTTTAGGAAGTTTAGAACCAAATGTGAGAATAATAGGGGATAGGGGAAAATGATAAGGGACCTGAATGAGAAAGTGAGAGAAACGGTTACATAGAGGATGTGGTAGGTAAGTTCCAGGTGTCAGAGGTAAATGATGAATAGGAGGCCTTTGAACTTTGTATAGAAGTTTTGGTAATAGGTAGTTCAGATTTTAACAAAAGAAAAAAAAAGTTAATTAAGCACATTATTTAGGGCAGAATGACAGTTCGTTGAATGATTTTATTGAGTAATAAAAGGCTGATGGTTAGACTTCAAGACGTGCAAGCTTATAGATGGGTAACAGATATATCAGATCATTCATAAGTTGTAGCTACAGCGAGAGTAAAAGGTAGATGGGATACAAGGAGAAGGTATCAAAAAGAGACGGGTGAAAGTTTATATAGTAAAGGGTAAGCAGTTAGGGTAAGATATAACAACTACACCTACCATCCGACTTACGACCGAGTTCGGTTCCAAGAAACGGGTCGTAAGTCGAACTTTACTACTGAATATCAATATAACATTTTTGTAAGATAAGATAAGATAAGATTTCGTTCGGATTTTTAACCCCGGAGGGTTAGCCACCCAGGATAACCCAAGAAAGTCAGTGCGTCATCGAGGACTGTCTAACTTATTTCCATTGGGGTCTTTAATCTTGTCCCCCAGGATGCGACCCACACCAGTCGACTAACACCCAGGTACCTATTTGCTGCTAGGTGAACAGGACAACAGGTGTAAGGAAACGTGTCGAATGTTTCCACCCGCCGGGAATCGAACCCGGGCCTCCGTGTGTGAAGCGGGAGCTTTAGCCACCAGGCCACCGGGGAAAACTTTATTTTATTTTATTTTATTTTATTTTATTTTATTTTATTTTGGTATTTCATGTTTTACTTTACTTTTTATGCTGTTAGTACTGCATTTTATACTGTAAGGTTTAGGATAAACACTGTGTACAACACAAACACTTGTTTATTTCCAAGAAATTTGGCATAAAAAACACGATCGTAAGTCGAGTGGTCGTATGTCAAGCAGGTCGTAAGTCGGATGGTAAGTGTATTAGTCGTGAGATACACTGGTGAGAATGTAGGTAATGAGGTTGAAAAGATATGGGGTAGATTTAGGAATGCAGATATAGAGTGTTCAAGAGAAGTTTGTCGATAAAAAAGGGTGGATGTGGGAGGGAAGAAGAGCAATTGGTGGAATGAACTAAAGAGAGTAGTAACACAGAAAAAGTTATCTTAAGAGAGGGTTTTACAAAGTAGAAGTGATATAAGGAGAGAGGGAAATATGATGAGGAAAGAAAAGGGTTTAAAGAGGGATGAAGGAATGTAATAAGAGAGAAAATAAGAGAGGGGGTGAGTTGCTTTCAACAGATTTTGCCGAGAGTCAGAAAAACGTTTGGAATGAAATTAATAAGTTAAGAAAGCATTAACAAGGCTTGACAATATGAGAAATTACGCAAGTGATGGGAATTTAAAACTTTTTCAGTGGTTGCTTTGTATATATATATATTATATATATATATATATATATATATATATATATATATATATATATATTATATATATATATATATATATATATATATATATATTAGCAATAAAATCACAGTAAAAAGGTAATTTAACAATATGCAAAACAACCACTGTGAAAATTTAGTGAATTTCCAAGCACATTCTTGATTTCTCATTTTATCATGAACTGTAAAAAAATATAGAAGGCTTAAAGGCTGAGATATTATCTCACATTCTACATTACATCCATCCCAATATGATGCAGGTAGGAGTGTCAAGGACTTGTCTCACAGCTTAATTCTTCCCAGATTTTATTTAGTATAAATGAGTATTATTTGTATATACCTAAGCTATTATTCATGTTAAAAATCAATACTATTTTTTACGAGGCTTCAGTTATATTTCTCTCAACCGAGAAAGGTGCATCAGGTAAGTCTATGGTTGAGAAAAATATAATAGCATAAAGAGGGATAACCCAAAATATTTCTTTCAGGTATATAGGAGTAAGATTATGTGCAATATAGGCCCATTTAGAAGTTGCTCAAGTTAGCTCACTGATGGTGACAAAGAAATCTGAACAATCTTCAAAACTTATTTGCTCTCGGTTTTCAAGCATAAAAATACTAGAGAAAATCCAGAAATAAAATAAAAATAGGTCGAGACGAAAATACGTTAGCACAATCAAAGCCACAAGTGACATAGTTCTTAGATTGAAACCAAACAAATCCTCAGTCCCTGATGAACTATTCTTATGGGTTATAAAGAAATGTACGAAGGAACTTAGCAAGCTATTGGTTAATCTTTTCAACAAATCACTGCAACCTGATATAGCATCAAATAAATGGAAAAAAGGAAATGTGATACCGATTTATAGTGTAAGAGATTGGTCTTTAGTTTCGAAATATAGACCAAGGACGTTCCTGCCTTACGAATTTACTGTTTTCTAAGGTATTTGAGAAGGTAAATCAGGTAGTAGGTTGGTAGACAGCAACCACCAGGAAGTACTACCGTCCTGCCAGATGACTGTGAAACAGAAACCTGTAACTGTTTTGCATGATGATTGGATTGCTGGTTTCTTTTTCTGTCTCATAAACACGCTAGATAACAGGGATATCTTGCTACTCCTACTTACACTTTGGTCACACTTCAGACACGCACATGCATATATATATAACATACATCTAGGTTTTTCTCCTTTTTCTAAATAGCTCTTGTTCCTCTTTATTTCTTCTATTGTCCATGGGGAAGTGGAAAAGAATCTTTCCTCCGTAAGCCATGCGTGTCGTATGAGGCAACTAAAATGCCGGGAGCAATGGGCTAGTAACCCCTTCTCCTGTAGACATTTTACTAAAAAAGAGAAGAAGAAAAACTTTATTAAAACTGGGATGCTTAAATGTGCGTGGATGTAGTGCGGATGACAAGAAACAGATGATTGCTGATGTTATGAATGAAAAGAAGTTGGATGTCCTGGCCCTAAGCGAAACAAAGCTGAAGGGGGTAGGGGAGTTTCGGTGGGGGGAAATAAATGGGATTAAATCTGGAGAATCTGAGAGAGTTAGAGCAAAGGAAGGGGTAGCAGTAATGTTAAATGATCAGTTATGGAAGGAGAAAAGAGAATATGAATGTGTAAATTCAAGAATTATGTGGATTAAAGTAAAGGTTGGATGCGAGAAGTGGGTCATAATAAGCGTGTATGCACCTGGAGAAGAGAGGAATGCAGAGGAGAGAGAGAGATTTTGGGAGATGTTAAGTGAATGTATAGGAGCCTTTGAACCAAGTGAGAGAGTAATTGTGGTAGGGGACCTGAATGCTAAAGTAGGAGAAACTTTTAGAGAGGGTGTGGTAGGTAAGTTTGGGGTGCCAGGTGTAAATGATAATGGGAGCCCTTTGATTGAACTTTGTATAGAAAGGGGTTTAGTTATAGGTAATACATATTTTAAGAAAAAGAGGATAAATAAGTATACAAGATATGATGTAGGGCAAAATGACAGTAGTTTGTTGGATTATGAATTGGTAGATAAAAGACTGTTGAGTAGACTTCAGGATGTACATGTTTATAGAGGGGCCACAGATATATCAGATCACTTTCTAGTTGTAGCTACACTGAGAGTAAAAGGTAGATGGGATACAAGGAGAATAGAAGCATCAGGGAAGAGAGAGGTGAAGGTTTATAAACTAAAAGAGGAGGCAGTTAGGGAAAGATATAAACAGCTATTGGAGGATAGATGGGCTAATGAGAGCATAGGCAATGGGGTCGAAGAGGTATGGGGTAGTTTTAAAAATGTAGTGTTAGAGTGTTCAGCAGAAGTTTGTGGTTACAGGAAAGTGGGTGCGGGAGGGAAGAGGAGCGATTGGTGGAATGATGATGTGAAGAGAGTAGTAAGGGAGAAAAAGTTAGCATATGAGAATTTTTTTACAAAGTAGAAGTGATGCAAGGAGGGAAGAGTATATGGAGAAAAGAGAGAGGTTAAGAGAGTGGTGAAGCAATGTAAAAAGAGAGCAAATGAGAGAGTGGGTGAGATGTTATCAACAAATTTTGTTGAAAATAAGAAAAAGTTTTGGAGTGAGATTAACAAGTTAAGAAACCCTAGAGAACAAATGGATTTGTCAGTTAAAAATAGGAGAGGAGAGTTATTAAATGGAGAGTTAGAGGTATTGGGAAGATGGAGGGAATATTTTGAGGAATTGTTAAATGTTGATGAAGATAGGGAAGCTGTGATTTCGTGTATAGGGCAAGGAGGAACAACATCTTGTAGGAGTGAGGAAGAGCCAGTTGTGAGTGTGGGGGAAGTTCGTGAGGCAGTAGGTAAAATGAAAGGGGGTAAGGCAGCCGGGATTGATGGGATAAAGATAGAAATGTTAAAAGCAGGTGGGGATATAGTTTTGGAGTGGTTGGTGCAATTATTTAATAAATGTATGGAAGAGGGTAAGGTACCTAGGGATTGGCAGAGAGCATGCATAGTTCCTTTGTATAAAGGCAAAGGGGATAAAAGAGAGTGCAAAAATTGTAGGGGGATAAGTCTGTTGAGTATACCTGGCAAAGTGTATGGTAGAGTTATTATTGAAAGAATTAAGAGTAAGACGGAGAATAGGATAGCAGATGAACAAGGAGGCTTTAGGAAAGGTAGGGGGTGTGTGGACCAGGTGTTTACAATGAAACATATAAGTGAACAGTATTTAGATAAGGCTAAAGAGGTCTTTGTGGCATTTATGGATTTGGAAAAGGCGTATGACAGGGTGGATAGGGGGGCAATGTGGCAGGTGTTGCAGGTGTATGGTGTAGGAGGTAGGTTACTGAAAGCAGTGAAGAGTTTTTACGAGGATAGTGAGGCTCAAGTTAGAGTATGTAGGAAAGAGGGAAATTATTTCCCAGTAAAAGTAGGCCTTAGACAAGGATGTGTGATGTCACCGTGGTTGTTTAATATATTTATAGATGGGGTTGTAAGAGAAGTAAATGCGAGGGTCTTGGCAAGAGGCGTGGAGTTAAAAGATAAAGAATCCACATAAAGTGTGAGTTGTCACAGTTGTCTTTGCTGATGACACTTGCTCTTGGAGATTCGAAGAAAAGTTGCAGAGTTGGTGGATGAATTTTGGTAGGGTGTGAAAAAAGAAAATTGAAAAGGATACAGGAAGAGAAAGGGTTTATGAGGAAAACAAAAAAGATTAGGTGATGAAAGTTTTGGATATCAGTTGGAGGGGGAATATGGAGGAGGTAAATGTTTTAGATTTTTGGGAGTGGACGTGTCAGGGGATGGGTCTATAAAAGTTGAGGTGAATCTAGAATTGTGGGGGGAAAAGGGTGAGTTGTGCCTTGGGGGGTCTGGGAGACAAAGAACTTTGTCCTTGGAGGCAAAAAAGGGAATGTATGAGAGTATTTTTTCCCACGCTCTTATAGGGGTTTTGGAAGCATGGGTGATGAATTTTTGCAGCGAGGAGAAGGGGGGAGGCAGTGGAGATGTCTGTCTGAGAGAAGTGTGGTGTGAATAAAATGCGAAAAATTTTTTGTTGGAAGTTAGGAGGGGTGGGGGATTACCAAAATGTTGTCCAGGGGTGGGGAAGGGTTTGTTGAAGTGGTTCGGACATGTGGAGAGAAGGGGAGCGAAACGAAAATTCAAGAGTGTATCAGTCTGTAGTGGAAGGAAAGGGGGGGGTAGGGGTCGGGTAGGAAAAGGGGGGGGAGGGGGTAAAAAGGGGTTTTTTGTGGGGGGTTGGACTTCAGCAGGGATGCGTGAGCGTGTTTGATAGGAGTGAATGGAGACAAAAGGGTTTTTTAAAACTTGACGTGCTGTTGGAGTGTGAGAAAGTAACATTTATGAAGGGGTTCAGGGGGGGAACCGGGAGGCCGGACTTGAGTCCTGGAGTGGGAAGTACAGTGCCCGCCTCTGAAGGGGGGGGGTGTTAATGTTGCGTTTTAAAAAATGTAGTGTAAAGCACCCTTCTGGCAAGACAGTGATGGAGTGAATGATGGTGAAAGGTGAAATTTTTTCTTTTTCGGGCCACCCTGCCTTGGTAGGAATCGGCCAGTGTGATAATAAATAAATAAAAATAATCATGGTGATGAATATGATATTGTATGTGGGCTTCAGTAAGGCTTTGGACAGAACTCTGCATTCAGAGATTGTTGAGGAAAGTAGAGGCACACGGAAATGGAGAATTTATTTCCTGGATAGAGGCATGGTTCACAAATAGGCAACATAGAGTATGCATGACGAAACATCAGAGTGTGGATGCATCACAAGCGGTGTTCCACAGGGGTTGGGCCCTTTGTTGTTCACAATATACATAAATGACAAATGAGGGAATACATAGTGATACAAGCAAGTTTGCCGACGACACCAAAATAGGCTACAGGAAGATCTGAATAGACTGATGCAGTGGTCTTAGAAGCGACAAATGCAGTTTAAAATAAACAAATGAAAAGTTCTTGGTCTTGGAAAAGAAAATTATCATGACACTTATAAACTAAATAATGGAGATCTTAATCACACTGAATTCAAAAAAGTTCAGGTGTTCACGGTAGCAGTAATTTAGAGCCAAGACAACAGTGCAGAAGTGTTTACAACAGATGGTATATTATTCTTGGCTTTATATTAAGAAGTATAAAGCGCTGGAAAACCTATGATGATACTAAGGACACTGAATCTGCACTCTCTAGAAAGGCGTAGAATTAGGGAGGATATAACTCAGGTGTATAAATGGAAAACAGGAACAAATAAAGGTGATTTAAATAACGTGCTAAAAATATCCAACCATGACAGGAATTGCAGCAATGGGTTGGAAAATTTTTCATTTAGAAAGGTTTGGTAATCGAGTTGTGTACGAGTGGAACAAACTCATTGAAGTTAAAACCCACCAGGTTACACACAAAGTTATTTACACTGATAATATTACTACATATCTGGTAATACTGTCACACAAGTTACCACAGAAAAGAAACACTTCGGTACATGTTCTCTCTGACTGCCATGACTCGCCTACATTGGCCCCAACACTGTTAAAAATTATGATATAGATCTAACTTTGCTTCACTCAAATTACGATTTTATGTATAGAATTATGTAGCTAATAAAGCATACATAAACTTTGTGAATATGACTAACTTTTTCGTTGGTAAATTCCTAATCTCCGCTTCACACTCTTGTTTAACTGCCTTCCTTTGCTTCATAATTGTCTCTTCTAACTGTTGTGCTTTTGTCTGTAGTTCTCTCAGTGTTTCTTCACGTTCAAGAATAATGTTGTCCTTCAGCAGAACCTGTTCCTTTATCTGCTCGACTTTGACCTCTTGCTGGAGAAACTTGTGTCGGAGCTCATTAATTATCGGCACCAATTGTTGAATATCGACGTCCTTGTGCTCACCATCTGTCACAACAAAATCACATGAACATAAATAACTCGCGAAATCATACTAACACAACTGAAAACAACTCATGGAACTCGAGGGATTCGATCCCATGACAAGTCATTCGTAAAATTATACGTGAACCACTGAACCATGTTGACCAAATAATATTCGCTCAGGTAATTAGACCTGTTACGAATTCCATCCTTTTTTTTTATTTATATACGTTTATGTACATACTGGGTGGCACTACCGTGAATGTAGAACCCCAGACCTGCTCAGAACGTTCCAAGCTGCACTAACAAATGCAAGGAATAGAAAGGAAGAACTTAGGCAACAGGAATGGGAACAGTTTGTTGGTGGATTAAATAGGTCCACCCCTTTGAGTTTGGCTTGGAAAGGTATAAATAAAATAACAGAAAAAGACTGGGAATGTTGCTCATCCCTTTCCTCTTGAAAAAGCAAATGACCTCATAAATGACTGGTCCAAAACATCAGGCATGAAAGCCTTCCATCTCATATTAGAAATAAATTAGAGAGTACTTCTGAAGAAATGTTTGAAACTGATTAATTTTATGAGCCAAAATATTGATGAGAGTGATTGCCTCTTTACCGAGTATGAATTAGATAATGCATTAACCAAAGGTCGATCAACTGCTCTGGAGAGGATTTGGTATAACCTATGATATTCTCAGAACTCTAAGGCACGTGCCTGATAACCCTTTGTTGGCACTGTATAATCTCAGTTACATTGAGGGCGTTCTTCCTACTTCCTGGACCAATAGTCTCATTGTGCCTATCCCTAAGCCCCAACAGCCTGATACATTTAGGCCGATCTCCTTAACTAGTTGTCTTTGTAAAACTTTTGAAAGAATGATGCTTAACAGATTGTACTACAGAATCAGACATCAACTTTCCCCCTACCTCTATGGGTTCATGAAAGGTAAAAGTGTGCAGAACTGTATTTCCACCTTTCTCACTGCACACACCTCTACTAGTTTTAAACCACTTTTCTTGATCTAAAATCTGCATTTGATATTGCGAACAGAACCGTTGTACTACATGAACTAGCCAAAATGAATATTGGTGGTAGCTTACTCTGCTGGATAATAGGACACCTGTCAAATAGAGTATCCTCTGTCCTTTACCAAGACTTCAGAAGTGATTCTAAAGAAATGTCTTTAGGTACACCGCAGGGAGGAGTTCTTAGTCCCATGCTATTTAATATTCTGATTAATGCTCTCCTAAATGCTCTACCTGCCTCACCTAAACATATAGCTATAAGCTATGCTGATGATATCATAATCCATACAACAGGGCATAAGAAGATGAATACCATTCTTAATGAAGTTCAAGCAATTTGTAATCGACTAGGGCCTCATAATATCTTCCTCTAAAACTAAGATATTAACAAGCAAACGACATCCCCCACCCATCTATTTGCAGGGTGAAATCATTAGCTACGTTAAAACTTACAGATATCTTGGTGTAGATGTACCCTTTAACAAATCCACTATACCACAACTAAACAAGAAATGTAAAGCTAGGCTAAATGCTCTCAAAGCTGTTGCTGGCTACAATCCCAACTACGGTGCAAATGTGAGAATCGTGAGAATGATGTACATAGCCTATGTTAGGTCCTTAATTGATTATGCTGCTCCCATGTTGATATTAGCTAGAGAAAGTTCTCTCCGACCCTTGGAGTTAATGCAAAATGAAGCTCTCAGGATTATTCTTGGCTGTCCCAGATCTACAAAAGTTCTTAAACATGAGGAAGGAGCTTGGTATTTCTAGTGTCAGTGATAGGATTGTTAAAAATTAAAACACTGTACTCGGTATTAGAATGTTGAGAAACGAACCAGACACTGTCACAGTGAATCTTACCAAGTGTTTTAGAGGTAAATACACACAGATCTAAATGGATTGTGAAAACGTGCAATTGCATTAAGTTTTATAACCTGCATGAACTGTATCACTGTAGGCAACAAGAGCATTTCCCCCCTCCAGGAAAATGGTTGTTCATTTAATATCACATACCTACAAGTCCCTCCCAAGAAGCTCATTGCTAGAAATCCCTTCCTTAAATCTTTGTTAGAGCAACTGCTCAAGAAGAAATTTCTCACCTAGCTGGTAGTAACAAGTTATCACAAGTTATATACACTGATGGATCTAAACAGGAGTCTTTGGCAGGGCTGCATCTGCTTTTGTTGCCACCTCCCTAGTTAAGAACGATAATAAATTTGTGAGTTGGGCATAAAAAATTAACAATGGGTGTCTACACTGCAAACTGAATTGTTTGAAACCCAAATGGCGCTAAAGCTAACCTATGACACTGAGCTTGACTCTATCATCATTACTGATTCTATGTCATCATTGAAGGCTCTTGGCTCATATAATGACTCCAACAACATGCTCATTGGAGAAGCCAGGTATAGATACTCAAAATTAGGGACAAAGGAAAATTAATGTACAATTGCTAGGGATCCCACACATTGGATTACTCCTTCATGATAAAGTTGATATGTTACCCAAGAAGAGTATCGAGAAGGAGAATGTAGAATATAATTTTGGGTTTATAACTGTGTCTAGCATTAGGAATAATATTAGGAGAGAAGTAAATAATGAAAATGATTGTTTAGGAATGCAGTTAGAAGCCTGAGTAGATCTATAACCCACTATGATAACATGAACGTAGATAAGTATGTTTATGGAGCAACTTGCAATGTGAACAGACTGACTGTGTTGTAGTGGCCAGGCTTAGACTTGGTTACAAGTACTTCTGGCAGTTTGGGAGACACAGATGATGATCAAACTAAATGTAATTATGTGATCAGGCATATGGTCACTCTCTTGAAAACTATGTGCTTAATTGTCCACTTATTGAGGAATACCGAGACAGCAGTATAATAACCCATGTGGACTGTCAAGATATCTTATTAATGAAAATAAGATACCAGATATACTAAGCAAATTTCCTAAATTTGCTTGTAACAGATAAGTGAACTATAGATATGTAGATATAAATCCATATGTATTCCTGTTAACCCTTTGGGGCCTAGTTCCTAGGCCTTTTGTGTATCCATATGCTCTCGCGCTACCCTCCACAGGATGGATATGGGGTGCACAATAAACTAGCCACTTCGGTGGCAAAATCTAAATCTGGGTGGCACTACACTGGAAACTGACCGGGAACTCACAACCTCCCCAGACCTGTCTGAGTATTTCTATTAAACATTTTGTGAGTGATTAACAAACTGAGAAAGCCTAGGGAATGAATGGATTTGATAGTTTTAAAAAAAGAAGAGGGGTTTATAGACGAAGAGGGTGGAAGTACCAGGAAGATGAGTGGCATAATCTGAGAAACTGCTAAATATTGATGAAGATAGGGAAGATTTGATTTCACACATTGGCCAGGGAGGTATAATAGCTTTAAGGAGTGATGTAGAGTCAGATGTGAGTGTGAGGGGGAAGCATTTAGGGGTTTTAGCAGCTGGGATTGATGGGATCAAGACAGAAATGTTTAAAAACAGGTAGGAATATAGTTTTGGAATGGTTGGTGCTTTTATTTAATAAATGTATGGGGAAAAGGGTAAGGTACCTAGGACTGGCAGAGAGCATGCATAGTTCCTTTCTATAAAGGCAAAGGGGACAAAAAGCAAGTGCAAGAATTATAGGGGAAAGCCTGTAGAGTTTTACCTGGTAAAGTGTATGGTAGAGATATTATTGAAAAAATAAGAGTAAGACGGAGAGCAGAATCAAAGATGAACAAGGGGTTTTTAGGAAGGATAGGGGATTTTGTCGACCAAGTGAAGTATTAAGTGAACAGTATTTAGATAAGGGTTAAAGAGGTTTTTATAGCATTTATGGATTTGGAAAAGGCATATGACCAGGAGGACAGGGAAGGAATGTGGCAGATGTTAGAAGTGTATGGACTAAGTGGTAGGTTACTGACAGCAATAAAGAGCCTTTATGAGGATAGTAGGTCAGATTAGAGTATGCAGGAGAGAAGGAGATTATTTCCCAGTAAAAGAAGATCTTAGACAAGGATGTGTGATGTTACCGTGGTTGTTCAGTATATTAATGGATGGGGTTGTAAGAGAAGGGAATGCTCGGATATATACAAGAGGTGAGAGATTATAAGAAAAAGAATCTAATACAAAGTGGGAGTTGCCACATTTATTTTTTGCAGATGACAGTGTGCTTTTGGGAGATTTCGAAGGGAAGATGCAAAAGTTGGTGGACAAATCTGGGACTATATAAAAAAAGGAATAAAAAAGTAAACGTAGGAAAGAGCAATGTGATAAGTACAACAAAAAAAATTAGGTAATAGAAGAACGGATATCAAGTTGGAGGAGAGAGCATAGAGAAAGTGGATGTATTCTGATATCTAGGGTGGACTTGTCAGCAGTTGGTTTTTATAAAGGACGAGGTAAACCATGGAATTGGTGAGGAAAAAAATTGAGAGGAGCACTGAGGAGTCTGTGGAGACAAAAAACTTTATCCATGGAAGCAAAGAGGAAAATGTATGAAAGTACAGTGGTAGCAGCACTTTTATTTGCATGTAAATCTTGTGTGGTGAATGTTGCAACAAGAAAGTTGGAGGAAGTAATGTCGTGTCTGAGGGCGACGTGTGGTGTGATTATTATGCAGAGAATCCGAAGCTTGGACATTAGAAGAAGGTGCGGGATTTCTAAAAATATTACACAGAGGGCTGAGGAGGGGTGTTGGTTCAGACATTGAGAGAGAATTGAACAAAATAGAATGACTTGGAGGGTGTATGAATCTGTAGTGAAAGGGTTGTTTACAGATCCTCTGAAGCTGGATGCAGTCCAAATATGCAACATTTCCCCTCTGGATGGCCATGGTGAGATCCTGACACATGAAAGTGGCTGACCTTGGGGCCCTAGTGGTGTCAATGTGTCTGGAACCCAGTTCTTTGAGGAAACATGTGGCATTCTTTCCCCATGGTCCCAGGGTCTCCAGTCCCACTTGCAGACATTGATACTGATAACTTATGTCT